GGAATGTAGGATTTTTACCTTACTGAATTCACCCCGGTGGCTACCCTCAGCACCTGCACCGAGTCCTCTAATAGACCTGCTTTGGAGCTCCCATAGTGCAAGGCCAGTTACGGCACATCTCTAGGGAGACGTGTCATGCATCTCGCTGCGGCCACTGGGTTGGCACCTAGAGTCCCCATTCTATATACCCGTGGTCCCCCGGATCGAGGAGGAGGATCGGGCCTCTCGCGATCCCACTCAGCATTCTCCTATTGGGACATTAGCGTCCCACAAAAGGAGGCCAATTTCCTATATCTGCCAGCGTAGCTTTAACTACTGCTAGCAGTGACAGGACTACCTAAATCTTGGCAACCAAGACTCACCGTTCAGAGGCCAAGCTAGACACTCCTCGGCTGTGCTTCATAGATTTAACTCGTCGAGTACCGTCATTATAGACACAATTATAGAACAATAGGTTGCGGTCACAGGTGACAGCTTGGTGTTTGACAGTTTAATATCTGTTGATTTTAGAATTTATCTTGATTAAAGATTTTATTAATTTGTTCGTTGTTCCGCTGTTATAAAATAAAGATAAGTACCTATTTCATTTCTTATCAGTTAATAATTTTTGGTAAATTTCTAAAAACAGAATGACAATGAGTTTTAACCAGTTTACATTCATACAAAAATACATGAAAAGTAAAAACATTAATTTTCTATTAACTAAATGCGGTTTTGTAGATATTACAATTTCCAAACTCTTGAATCAAATTTTTATTCTTGATAGGTAGAGGATCTATTAGTATTTTGAAACAGGCGAGGTACGAACATATTTTGTATTCATTGAATTACGCATTATAGCCATTTAAACTAAAATACTTTTTAAATGTAAACGGTTTCGTTTGATAATGTAAATATTATGTAAAATTTATTATCATAAACTATATGGTCATCAAAATTAATGAGTCTGTACTAAGTGTTAGATCGATCTATCATATCAGGAAAGGGATAAAATTCCAAGTAAAACAAACAAACGGATCAAGCTAAATAGAGGTATAACCGTTTAAAGTAGGTCTTTATACACAAACCACACAGAACTGACATTGATTGAATTTGTATTATTTCAATAAAATCGCAATAAAATGACAAAGCGTGGCGTGCAAAACTGTAATCAAACAGATTTATTCAATAAAGTTGAATTATCGGTCGCAAGGGCGGGTACTCGCGTCGGTCGCACAGTCATTACCCGGCCTCATCTTTGTACACGCATGGGGTATAGCACTGATGGGATATTAAGGTTATTACCAACGGCAAAATTGGTCGAGCGACCGCTGAGGAAGCTGCCCACCGAGACCTATTAGCGGTATTACATATTTCATATGATCCACCATCGATCGACGATTATGGGTGTATTAAAACGCCGTCTGACCGTCTTCAGATCATGGGAATATGCACAGCCCCACCTTTTATCTACGTTTTTTACAGTTTAGTAGGTAATTCGGCGATCACTGAGCGTCCGAAGCGTACATTATGAGTACTACGCCGAAACTTTAATACTTTTTCTCATATACTGATCAATATCGTGGGAGCGAATTGAAAACATTTTTAATAATATTATATTTTGTTGATATAAAACAGTTACATTTACCTTGCTGATTCACTACATTATTTTTGCTTCAATTAGCTTGAACGTTTAAACTATCTTGTTCTTTTTTCTAAAATATGGTTTATAAACACAATCCTGCAACTATTTACAAAATTCGTTCTAAGAAATAATGTCATAATCTCCTATTTATCCTATTAATATTATAGATGTGAAAGTTTGTAAAAATATACGGAAATAAGGCGGATGTATCAAACATAAATAAGGCGCATCCAAAACTTGCGAGGTTTCTTATTGATTGGGTAAGAGTATCTTGGGTAGGAGGAGACATATAATGAATAATAGAATCAATATTTATTAATAGAATCAATATTTATTCTGCAAAAGCGGGCTATCCGAGCAATATATAACTTACGCCGTTGCGAATCGTTGAGAGAATTGTTTAAAACGATAAATATTTTAACGGTGCCCTGTCAATATATATATGAAAATATAATGTATGTAAGGAAAAATAGGCAATTGTTTGAAAAAAGAAGCGATAGACACAATTTTAATACTAGAGGCAAAAATAAGTTAGCTATACCGCAATTCAGACTGTCCAAAGTACAGAAATCCTTTATGGGGTTAGGTATTAAATGCTATAATAAAATACCAAATAGCATACTAGATCTCAATGAAAGTAAATTTAAAACATATATTAAGCGCGAATTATGTAATCAAGCTTACTACACACTGACAGATTATCTTGAAGATAAGAATGCTTGGCAGCATGTTGGTTCGGCTCCACTGGACAATACTCAAATGTAGTCAGTAGTTAAATTCCAATAGTAGGTAATATAATACATAATTTAATACTTTAATTCTAATGTAGACAATCTAGTTTCCTTATGGCATCGAGCATTTCTTTCTTTATTGAAACAAAGAGTTTCCTTTTTCTTGTATAGAAGCACTATTTCTATGGATTGTCAGTATGCATATGTGAGCACCATGTTAGACTTAAGATCTTTATTATTTTTATTTTTATTTCAGTAAGTTATTAGTATAATGCGTCAAACGTGTCTTTGCATTGTTCTTACATATGCGTACAGTATTGAAATATGTATCAGAGACATTGTAGAACATACTTTTTTAAAAGAGTAACGAATGGAGTTTCTTGCTCGTTCTTCTCCATTCGAATCTACGTTTTGGAATGAGCACCTAGCTTCACCTAGCTTCACTGACGGACTGACTGACAGACTATTATTTATTTTGTATTTGTTGACGTTTCAAAAGTACCAAACTATGGTTTAGTTGAAATAAATGCTTTGACTTTGACTTTGATCGAATAGATCCTCCGCTCATGCTCATTGCGTAAGATAGAAGCAATTGCTTTTAGACAAAAGACTTCTTCTCTTGAATCATCTTTGTGTGATAGAATCTGATGTCATAGCCTGGAATTGATATTTTTGTAATTTTAACTCTTTCGTTTGCTTCTTCATCATTTCTTAAAGGTCATTTCGGTTTGATCTTACCGTTCATACAGCATAAATCGTTTAATTTAGTTTCCAGTAAATTGCAATTAGTGGAGAAGTTGTTAACTGCTGCAAGTGTATTCATGGGGAGGTTGTTGCTGAGTTTCATCACGACATTGCAGCCCAGATCTTGTATCTAGTTAGTGTTCGTTCGATCGATCGTTTTTGGATTGAATTCAGGCTGTGGATAGCCATAGCCACAACTTAAAAAGTTATAGATTTTTTATGAAATTGAGAATATAACGGAGTCTTCTATGTATTTCCAATTACCGAGGATGAGTTTATCTCTCTTACCATGTTTCTCAACATGTTCTGTTCATAATATGATATCTTGTTGAAAGGCATCATCCGTCTCCACCGTGGTTGGTTGAATATTATCTAGCCCTATTTCATGTCAAGTTAGTATTGGTAAATCACTGTCAGAAATTAGATTTATTGCTGCACTTTTATTTCAGAATTAGTGATATAAATAGTTGGTAATATCGTAAATTCAGAATTTTCTCGGCACAGTAATTATATGGTTCTAATGTTTTTGTTGTTATATCTCATGTTCTTTGTCATTCAAATCATCCAACCCAAACATCTCTGTATTAGAAAAGAACGAATCAAGATGCTCGATAGCATCTTGATTGCATCCTCTTCATTTTGTTGCAAAAAGGAATTTGAAGGGCTTATAAACCATCATAAATTAAATCGTCATCAGAGTCACTATAGGACCAATCGTTATTTTGTAAAAAAAATTTTGTTAACTTTTTTTCAGTAAATCTTGTGGTGACATTTATCTAAAACAATAAATTGTAATGTATTGAAGGTAATTGATGGTAAAATAACGAATAGCAGTGATTTCGGAATTTATCCTCGATAGACACTGGGATGATATCTTCCTACTTGGAGACTCCATTTTAATAGACCACCAACGTAAAAACAAAAGATCCTGGGTACATTTTACATTTGACGTAATCGTACAACGTACACATAGGCAAGTTTACGTAGCTAACTCGCAAATTCACTTGATAAATATTTTTTCAGATCTAGAGGTAAAGAAATAATTTATAAAATATAGAATAAATGCTGAAGATATGCTGTTGTTAGTCGTGGAAACGTTACAATTGTCTTTGTATTAGTACATCCTGAATTTTTATTCTTTGTAATATGGCTGTTGCTTACCCGAATTAAAATAAATAAATAACAGTCGTTTTCGACAAAAAAAAAACACATCTACTGACTTTGACGTGTGTATACCATTGCGTTTGTGTACCATTAATCCTTTAACTACCGACAGTAAACTGCTGAGGGCAAATCTATATAATAATACTGTTAACTAATAAACTGAACTCATAGTAAACTATACAACAACATCGACGTTCATATTATATGATACCCTCTATTTTATGCAACGTCTACTCGTTTTGCAATATACTTACCTTCTGATATCCCCTAATGCAATTTTAGTAATTTTACAAAATTCAACCTGTGATTTCTTTTGTTCGGCGTTAATACCTTCTGACATAAGTACTCAGACGCAATTACCCGTGAATACATTTTTGAATTACATATATTAACGAGCATGTATGAAAGCAATGTATTCATTTTGAGTATCGTGTTTGTGTAACATGTCTACAACAGGAAGGTTTTATAATTATGGATAATATCTATGCTTTCCTCTTGGTTTTTTGTATGTTGTCCTTTGACAACAAGTGAGACTTTTCTCACTTGAACGTTGCTCTAACTTTGACATATCTATGACACCGGCAAATAACAAGAACCGTAAGTTCAGGTATTGCCTAGGATATCTAGGTAGAAACATCTTGATTCCCTAGGAAGTTCGAAAGGAGAGGTAAATTGTCACTAAACATATAATGCAGTATCATTGTCTTGTCTATTAATATAAGTTTCTTTTGTTTCAGGATCCTTTCACGGTAAGTTACACGGCGTAACAATTTGTCTCAACTGTTCAACAAATAAACCTAAGTCAGACCAACCTGATAAAAAAGTCACAGAAAGTCATAACAGAAAATTCTCTCTGTTAATAAAGAAAGAAATCCTCCTTTTCAAAACTTTATTTTTGTACAGAATACATTTTAATTTGTTTTTACTTTTCCGGTTATCTCAACATGGATGGTGATCATTACACAGGGTGTAAGTATGTTTTACCATAACTTAACCTTTTTATTTATTAGGTTACCTGACTGACTACCCACCTCACTATTTTTAATCCTGCTGGTAACGTTTCTAAATTAGTTATGTATAGGTCAAAAATATCAGTCATTGTACTGACATAGACATCTTAGATACGAGATTAATAGTAAGCCTGACTTCGACACGTATATCAACGTCGCTGTCAACCTATATGCATAATTACACAGTGACAAGATGATAATTAGTGGCGTGGAAGACGCATCGTTCCGCGGATCCTAATTGATGTACATGCAAACGCAATCAATATGACGTGGTAGCGGATGTTGGTCGGCACACGGGGACATGAGCCATGTCCTCGCCTTTCGTGGATATAGCCACTTGGGCAAAACAATCCCAAACATACACATATTGTCACTCGAGTAATAATTGTGTTAAATATATGAGAAATTCGTTATTTTTGTTTTATTTGTAGAAATAGTGTACTGAACATTTTCATATAAAGAGATATGTACATGTAGTTACATCAACCATTTTATTTCTTAAGTACATATCTGTATCAATTGACAATTGTGTCCGTAGAGTACCATAATTTGTGGAGTAAAAAATATTTAACAGAAATATACCATTCAGTATACTAAAGCAAGTTAACACTATGGAAGGTAGATTTTTTGTTCTGGTCACAAAACATAACATTGCTTTTTAACCGACTAGAATAATGGTCTACAATAATTTACACTTCTAAATGTAGGTACCTACCTACGAAAGTTGAATAACTTTATTGGTTTTAGAACTGGTTTCCTGTTATTTGGTAATGTAGGTCCTCGGGTGTGCTTATAACTCAGCAACCTTTTATCACACAAGTGTAATTATCATTTTTGAGTATCGGTGTCACTATTGTAGTGTAAGCAATATCGTCACTGTAGCTTTCTTATTGTCCGAAAAATGTTAATATATTTTTCCCTTAATATTTTGTCGGTCACGTCAAGCGTGCAAATTAAAAAAACGCAATGTTTAGGACCAAACGTAGCTTTTCAAGTCGTTTTGTTTTAAATGATACGTCTCTCATTTGACATAGACGAGAGATTTATATCGGGCAAATTGTAAAGCTTTGCTTTTGTGCTCGAACCACGTAATCCTGTTTTAAATTTATTAGGTTAGCCGACAATAAATTTGTAAATTCTGTAGTCCGCTGACCCGGAAACGTCGCATTAATGAGATTTTTATTTTAAGGATATTCAAAAGATCCCTATAATATCATGTACCATTACGTAGAATTAATTTAATTTGTTCTTATTTCATGTCACCCACGGATACTTGTCGACGGCCACGATCTGAACGCCTGCTTTTGAAGTATGTGAGTATATTGTCCTTTAATAATATTAAATTTGGGTTGAATCGGAAGAATATCGAGAGGTAGGCAGAAACTACAAACAGATGGAGCAACTTATCAAAATCGTGCATCAGATCATAGAAGCATACCGATTAAGACTAAAACTTTCATTAACGTGAACATACAGCGGTTATTGTAATTCATGCAGAATGATAACCTTTTTTTAAGAGAGTAAAATTATCTAATTAAACACCTCTTGCCTTACCTAAGGCGGGAGAAACTACCTGCGACATTCGTTGCCGCCATTCCGTCATGATATCGCGCCGGAGCTCATCCAGCCACGTACTTATAAAAATACGTATGAGAGCACCTTTGCCTCCAGATCCCTCGATAGAAGAGAGAGGAGAGATCATGCGATATCCACGGATCATCGAAATGACCATAACCCTCTGACACGTGAGCAGCGTCCGAGTTTGTCGCCGCATTAGATTTGTCACCCATTAAGGGGCACCGTAGAGGGCCATGGACCGCACGATCCTTGCGTACAATCTCCGGCAAGAGGCGTTTTGCACAGGTTGGGTAGAAGTGCAGAATGCTTAGGTTGTTTTTTCATAATCTGTTGTGTCAAAAAATTCATTCTTTTTACTTTGTACTAATTATTAATACAAAAAAACAAGTTTTACGATAGGAATTCGGTTTATATTTTAGCACAAACTCAAAGCTCACAGACATAAAAGAAATACGTGTAGAACAAAATTGCCTCCACCAATATTGATGCAGTCAACTCTAACTGCGTAGGTAGATAGATACGTTGGAAATCGTGCCTGTGCCCAATGTGCGCTGCAAATTAACAGCGCTTCCCCTGGGGCCAATATTTCTCCGGGCGACGTCGAACCTAGGACCGCCCGCCACTAACTACCCCACTGAATCAGCGACGATCACGCCTACATCTTGTACATACGCCGATTGGTACGTAACTCGTACCCTCAGCGCGGATAAAGTAATATATATTCCCAAGACCGAACTGCTGACTGAAAACCGTGGCACACCTAAGGTGACAGGTTTTATGGGCTTCGCGACTAGAGCATGGGTCAATAGAATTAGTATTAAATCTATATTTATTGCTGTTTTTCCATTTCTATATGGACTTATCTTTGGTATTGAAATAGTACTAATACGGATCTAATAGCTTAACCCGTGTGTCTAAACGTGAATCTTCGCGAGACACAATGTATTTTCTATTATGTCTCATTTACGGGCATTCAAGCGGTTAATATTTTTGGGGTTAAATAAGTACAATGAAGAACTTACGTACGTACGTATAATAGAAATGATGACTGGGTATGAAAATAAAACATCTAATTAGTCCGTCAGTTAGGTAATGAAAAAATGTTAGACATATTTTTAATTTGGCGTATAAGAAAATGATACTTAGATATAACGAATCAAAGTTGTGGCTAAAACGTCATCTCGATGTATAAAATGTAAATAGAAGTGACGTCACGCGACGTTTCAAATCAAAATAGCGTCGATAGTATTCGTTTCTGTAAAAAAATAAAAAATATGTGTGTAATAATTTAAAATAATCTACCAGGCGGACATTACAATAAAAATTAGTCATCTACTGAGTAATTACTAATTTTCAGTCTGTCCTCATTACAAATGTAAAAATTAAAGCAATAATTGTGGTTAGAACATTGAAACTGTGTTGTCGAAGTAATTACTAAACTGAGCTCCTTCATACACTAACAATAGGGTCCCGCGGGACGCTTCGCAGTCGGACTCGATCACTTCACGTCACTGATAGAACCAAGAACAACGTTATTAATTAACGCTCTTTTCGGGGTTCTGTCGCGACTAGTGATATAGGAAAACAAACATTGTTCGTATACTTTTCTTTTTATTGATAAAATTGAGGGAGTAACCCCGGTCGCACTACGGCGAAACCACGGCGGTTTTCAACTGCATAACATTTAATTGTATCGAAAAACGAGTGCGGGATAGAACAGCAAGTACAGCTGCTTGTATTCAGTTTCGTTTTAGAAAACTACGCGGTAGTGCGGTCAAAAGTTCATTTATTTGTTTTAAAGTCTTAAATAAGTTCACCTGTCTTATCGGTATGCTTGTATATTACCCAATCTTGTAAACGTATTACATCGCCAATATTTAACTCAAAATAGTAGAAAATTATCTTTATACCCCACCATTTTGCTAAGTCAACTGTATGTAGTTTCATTATGGGATTAGATAGTAGTCAGAATTTAAACTAAACTAAACAACGAGTAAAACATGCTTAAATTACCAACTAACCTACAGTTAAAGCTACCTCCATCTAAAATACGGTTCCGTAAAATTATACTGCACTTACTTTAACATTTTAAATATTAAAATGACTAACGATGATAGCAAGCTAATTCCTATAACTATGCTAATAACACCTACCTTCACCAAAATATAATCTTTAATCTGAATGCAAATCATCCTAATGCGTTCCGATTATAAAGAGCTATAATTTCGGCATTATATTGTCCATCAAAGTGTTTTACATATATAAAAATAAAATGCTGACAATCAAGTAATTTGTTTCTCAACCTACTAAACTCTTTTCGTGATAGAATCGAGTTTTTGTCTTAGTGTTTAGATCAGATTTTTTTCTTCATCATTTTAGGAACGGGTTCAAATCATTGTGTGATTAGCTTAAAGAGTTATTCATTGAGCAAGTTATTAAGAATTATAGATATAAATGTAGAAACTTAACACATTTTCAGACCGCAATGCACTGGGCTTGTAAACGTGGTGATGAAAATTTAGTGAAATTACTGGGTGGTGTAACCCGGCAAGTAGTCAACGAACGATCGGTGAGTAATAATTACCTAACTATACCTCACATATTTAATTGATTGATGCAAATCACACACACATGTAATAGAAGTTGTATTTAAAAAAATAATGTTATTAACCTGATAGTCTGTTTAAATTAGCCAACCGATATGAATAAATAATACATTTTCTCATGCTATACCGTTTTTGTTATCGAATGTTGTAACTGAATACGATACGGCTGAATATCATTCAGGAAGCTAGTTGAACGATATTGTTTACTAAATAAGTAAGGCTGATGATTGAACTGCTTATTTAACCAATTGGCGCCCAAATTTACAGTGCTATTCATAGTGAGTATTCACAATTTACAGAGAGTATTCCATTTATTAAATCTACGTTTAAACAAATAAAAAATAAGGAGAACCTTGACCCCAACATACAGCACTAGTCAACTGACTATAACTATAGTATTCAATTCCAATCGAGTTTAAATGGTCGACTTAATTATGTGTTTACGTACATCCGCGGTAAGAGTAATTGCTAATTTTACTGTTACCTAGAAGCTTTAATGTCCAATCAAATTTACTTACTGCTACTGCTACTTATTTAGCTTGCTTTACAGTATCGTTAAAATGTCATTACAATCTTTTTCATGTGCTGTTCGGCATCGTCGGCAACGGAAGTAGAATGGGGTAAGTCCGCTGAGAATTTTATTACTGGACTACTTGTGGATTCAAGGGAAGCGCTGGTAAATTTATCTGTGCACCACTCAAGGTTTTAATGTTTCTCTTTTCCTCATAAAACTACTATAGTCTTTTTATGACAACTTTATGTAAGTACTTACATGTCTATAGAATAGGAACCCATACTTATGTTCCCTGTAACTTTAATTCGTTGACATTTAATTGAGATTTGTTTTAATACTTAGTTCTATGGACATTTTTGTTAAACTTTAGACAACTAACTAACCTAAAGTTGAGAAGTTATGATAAGATGTTATCAAATTAAAGTCTTAGATAAAGCCTAAATTCGTTGTGTTACTTTAGTTTAGTTTACGCTACAGCTGACGTTGCTATATATTCAGTAATATCAAACTGATTTTAATATCCATCGCAGATAATATTGGATATAAGTATTAGATTCGCAAACGGAGGCAACGAATGAGGAACTGGGAGCAGATGTGAGCCTTTACAACTCTGTTTAAGCGCGCTTTGTGTGCCCTGCGCACCCCATCTCTTGTTCAAATATTTCATATCTGATACTATCGTAAAGGTGCACTGTTTGAGACATGTTATAATAACGTGTATTAAATGATGACCGTTTATTATTAGAGGTATATTAGCCATGTCTGAATTTATTGAACTTGGTTCCTTTAAATGCAAAGTACGTACCCTTGTATGCATTTACCTACATTATTCTTTTTAAATGATCCTTCGGTCTGATTGTTCACGGTGGTAAAAATTGCGAATAATCTATGTTACAGGGATACACACCTCTGCACATCGCCATGCAGTTTCGCCACGAGAACGTATACCGTCTGTTAGTTGAAGTGTATGGTAAGTAGATGATCATTTTATGATACTAGTGTAAAAATTCTAGGTGATGAAACTTAGTTATGCAATTACGTAATGTTAAAACATCTATCATTCATAAGTAGTTTAGAGTGTAGTTCCTTTATGTATCTGGGGCCTTAGTACGAATTTGATTTACGTTTAAAGTATTCGAAACGAGTACGTGTACTCTGATTGGCCGGCACCAATGAAGCAACCAATCAGAGCGCCGAATGCGTACTCGTTACGATTACTTCAAACGTAAAAAAAACTCGTACTTAGGCCTCTAGTATCATATATGGTATCATCGTCTGGTAGCATACAAGAGTTTTCAACGTTTCGAAAGAAAAAAAAACTGGGAAATGGTTTGATACATATTCAAAACTACCTACTTCGGCGCGGATTTACTCGCTCTGGTCGGGCCCCTATTGGTCGTAGCATGATGTTTCATTATATCGACAGCATGTACGGACGACCCAATACAAAAACGTTTTCAAGTTGAACCAGTAGTTCCTGAGGTTAGCGCGTTCAAACAAAAGATATATAATAACAAGATATTCAAAATACGGCATCTCCGCAGATTAATCAATTTGGTCTTCCTGCTTTTAGTGGTTACATTTCAGGGCCATGACGAACGTCAATAAATAAGTTTAAAGTTATGAAGTTGTAATAAGTATTTTTTAAAAGAACTAAGTATACCCCAAAAGCTTTGGACCGTATTTAATTTTCGTTGTAAATCAATTTACTTTCTAACATATGCTTTATTAAGATTTTTTCAGTCTTTGTTAATAAGTTAAGGAGGAAGGGGAGAAGACATACTGTCTAGTTTCTAGATACCGTTTTTTATTTATTGGTATATTTATTTAACACTTAAACTGTCAAACACCAAGCGGTCACCGGTGACCGCAACCTATTGTTCTATAATTGTGTCTACAAAACCGGTACTCGACGAGAAAAACCAAACCAACTACAACAATTAGGTTTTCAGCTACATCAGCACTATTGCCATGGAAAATACTCCACTCCACATTTCTCCACTGAAATAGCTTTCGAACGACATAACATTACAGTTTTCCTGTTTAGTATTGTTGAGAGATTTCATTAATACTACGTCATATATAAATGCCTATGAACGCCATCTATTGATTCCTGCGCGAATTAAAACCAGAACAAGTAATGCTAGTTGCAGAGTAGTATCTAGCGGTGGCAAGCGTACCACGTCACAGGTCATAATTGTTATGCATTGATTCACTTGAAAATAGGTAGATGGCGTGCTACTATGATGTCATAAAAAATTGGCGTGAAACAACTGATGTTTTGTTTTCATTGAAATAATAAATTGTGCTCAGCATTCTTAATTGAAAAGTTTTTTATTGCTTTTTATTTTGTAATACAAAGTATAAACGTTCATAAATGGCATTTCTGATTTATTTTTGAATGTACGGTTAGTGCGGTGGCTGGGCAACAGGCTGCCACGCAATGTGTAGTACCTAGTTGGGTTATTTCTGAAATAATGTTTCTGACGCTTATTTAATAAAATATTTCTCGCATTGCAGATGCAGACCCAAATGTTCGTGACTGGTCAGGCAGGAAACCGAGACAGTACCTTGTCCACATGGACACATCACTGTCCCCGGGATCATACAGAAGTATGCTGATCACCAAATCATATCTTCTTAAATCCTATTAATACCTATAAATTATATAATGTATTCCTTTTTAATACTGTAGTCATTATTTTCTTATTTTTATTAATCATATTATACATAGGTATTTACTATCGTACTAGTTAATGCAGGTTAGAGGAAGGTCGCAAAATCAGCAAGAATCTAGTTTCCGAAACGTAATTAATATAATTCTATTACAATTTACTAGTAAAGAAATAAAAATATAAATTAGTTTCATTAATTATTAATACTAAATGAATTTGAGCAGATTCAGATGTGCGCATTTGTATAAACATCCAAATATTTTTTAGAGATTTTGTTGCTTTTTTTATCTCTCGAGTTGTAAAGTTGTTAAATCGCAATTCCAAGTTGTTTTCTGGGAGTTTTGAACGTCACTTTTATACGTGCGTCGCGCGTGCATCTTGGAAAAATGGTAGCTAAAACCAATTTTTACAATACTTCTTTACTGGTCTAGCGTACGTACGTCATAGACCAAGATTTCGCTCAGAATATTTGCGATTTACTTCTGCAGATTCATTACAAGCATTTGCTTTTAAAAATAACGACGTAGAACTACCAAATTACTGACTTTTCAGATATGGAACCAACACGAACATTGAATTTAATTTTCTTCTTTAGTGATGTATTAGTAAGTGAGTACTACAGTACAGTATTTCAAAGCGCGTAGCAACATTTTGCCAATTGTCACTGATGGTTTGGTGGGCAAACCATTGGACACAACTGAACTGGCAAGTCGGCCGTACAGAAGCTCGCACACTCTGCACCTTAATCGAAAGCTGTGGCTAGTATGGCATATGGAAACATAATATTTTTATTAGCATTCCCTAAAAAGTACAACTCAATCCAATAGGTAGAATACAGGAGTCGTTCATTAATTGTTATTGGTATCTTCTTACTTTGCAACCTTCCTCTAAATGTTAATAAGGACTTCAATTATTACAATAATGTTTAATACTGTTATGTAATAAAAAGTATTTTAGCTCTGATCGTAAACAAGACCTATAGAATTGGGTAGTGTTTTGTTATTTTTAATTAAACAGCAAATGGAGTGACGTGGAACGACGGTGTCTATACAGGAAATGTGTTACAGAGCCCGATACATATGACTTACGCCGGACTGTTACCTCTCCTCCGGTCATAAGAGTTCCTCCGAACGCTATTAATGCACAATCAAGTAAGATACTAAAAGCGTGTCTGCGTCCTCACAGTGCTTACTTGCGTGTTATTTATTGTGTAAATTTTGTTCTTACTAGTAAATCATAATATCTCTCTATTTGTTTAACATGTGTGCATTTACCTACATGACTGATATTATGGTTTATTCTTCGTGCACATCTCAGGGTTGCGGCCTCTGTCTTATCATCTTCCTATGAATTAGATACTAAATACGTAAGTGGTTGTGTTTCTGTGGGATTTAGAGAAAATAAGTAAATTAAGTATCAATAATTTGCGTCTCCTACAATTATTTAACCTCAAGCATAATTCGTAGTTATGAAACTTACACTATTCTCTTTGTTAATCGTCAAATTAATATAAATGCCAATATTTAGTAAGGTAACTAGTTTTATCAAACAGTCCACCAAATAGATGCATAGATGCAGTAATATAGTGGTGAATTTAAGGCATCCTGTAAATATCAACCCTTCTGTAGAGAGTTAAATAGTGTGATACTTGTTGTAAATAAAATAGCGAACTAACATGTTACACAGACTTAATCATACATCATTTCGGATATCATTGTGGTTACTGTGCGATTATTTGTTCTTTCTTACGGAAATAACAATTCAACTTTGTGAGCACAATGACCGACAGATTAAAAGCTTACCTTGTGTGTTGACCTAGCCATTCATAGTTAAATAAAATAATATTGAAGTGTAATATTGAAAAAGTCAATAATGTAACAATGGCGACGACAATTAAAGTAAATTAAAAGGTCGGACTTACATGAAGCAATAGTAACGAACACAATATATTTGTTTGTAAATTTAGTGGGTCACTCTCACAATCTTGTCCTTTATGACAGCATCGAGTGCTGATCGAAAGTAACACGCAGTAAACTTTTTTATTGAAAAAAAAAAACATTCAGGAAAATGTCGCCAGAATGAAATAAACGAATCTTTTTTGCATACCACTTTATTTTTAAGTGCAATTTTTTTTCAATAATGTTTTGTACATAATTCCTTATATTTAAATGTAAATACGTAAAATTCATATAATGGGTACTTCAGTTTAAATACAATTTCTAATGAAATTACAAATGTTATTATAGAATACTGTAAATAGCTTGACCTCTTTCAAACCTCTATTCCTTATTTATTGTTGGTGTAATTACGTACTAATAAACTCATAACTTTTCATATTTCATGTGAAACAAAGTGATACTTAGATGTATTAATATTATTGTATAATCATGTTATTTTTTTCAACGAAATACATAAATATAAACACTGTATCTTATAATTGACGCTTAAATACAAAGTGACTCCTTCACAGAAAAAGAAGGATTTCTCCGCATCGGTTCTCTCAACGTGAGAGTGAAGAAAACTACAGAAGCATTTAGTAACTTCTTAGGCGTGGGGGCAACTAGGTCCTCGGCCTATGTACCTAAGTCAGCTCGAGAAGAACGACGTTCAGACGATAGTGACCAACTTAAAAGTTGGGGTTCTGCTGACAATATACAGGTACATATTACGCTTTTATTTCTATTTATAGGAAAAATAGGTACCTTCATATGACACTACTGTTGTTCGTTTAGAAATTTTAATCAGTATACTTCACAAGTTATGAATTTCGAAACTCGAATAATTCGTGAAAATGAAATATTTTATTCTGTCAATTTTAATGTGATAATTGAAAGTAATATGTTTGATAGAAGGACGACAAGCTAATGCCGCCTCCCAACAACAACAAAGTCCGGCGACGTGGTGCTAGCGGGCGGCGTGGGATTGGAGCAGCACATAGTCGTAGTACACCTTCCACACCAGACCAAGTACATATTTCTTAACTACTATATACTTAAAATCATCAGGCCATTTTCGTTCCCAGCTGGAAATAATTAGGCGTTTTCCTCTCCAATAACACGCCACTGAGCTTCTTGATCTTCAACCCTTTATACTCATCGCCTGCCATCCAAAGGATACCGTTGCTCCACTTACTCGGGGGATGATCTACACTGCGTTTGTCTAGGTGCGGTCTTCTTTCGAAGACGGTCGTTACTGTTGAGATGATAAAATTGGAGACGAAGAGACATGGAAATCGAAGAGCGTAATCATATCGTATCATACAGGGTGTGTTGTAGTGGTCCAGACTTAAGAGGTTGATATAACGCGTTTTCGTCTGTATCATATTGAAGTTTTATACGATCTGACCCCACGGGCCCAAGAGAAAAAAAGATCTTTGTTCTTTTTTATATAATTCAAATAAACGCAATATATTCCTAACCTAGGTATGATTGTATGTCTTCGAAATGCTCCATGAGACTTCTGGTTGTTCAACATTTCATTACACATCATTTTGTCGGGACTAAAATTTAGTTGAATTGTAGAATAATGACATTAAAAACGAATCTCCTTTCAGATATGCTCTTAAAAGTTGCACTGACGCACAGACCGCATTGTTGCTTAACAGACAAATAGTACTCAAAGTTTTGAAATACATACTAGCTTTTTTGTAACGCTTTGCAACGTAGCAACAATTAAAATGTCAAGTTCATAACGTGATCAAATATGACCAAAACAAATAATTTTCTATGTAATTGCAACCGAATTCTCATGAAATGTAACTAAACTAATGGTTTTGTTTTTTAAAATTATTTAGATTTTTTTTTATTTTCAGCCTCGAGCCCAAATTGGGGTTAGTGAAGAGGGAGACTCTGATTCCGATTCTGCTGCTGGCTTTCACGCAGCATGGCGACAGCAACGGGCATCGAACTGTACGTAACGTACATTGTACATGAGCTTCGGAAACAGTGCTCATGTAGCCGGCACAGTTTTGAGATGACTCCTACAACCAGAATCACAAATACAAATGTAAAGTATCATTTAAGGCATTAATCATTCTAACACTTTAATAGAATACTTAGAGATTGGTTAGCATTAAGTATATTTATGTGGTTGCTTTCGGAGCACGTACCTTTTTCATTATTAGTAATTTAATAACTTAAATTAGAAAGTTATCTGGGACTTTTTAAAATTGGTTATTTGATACATATTGCTATGCTTTTACTCACACAAAAGCAATGTTTATCGTAACACTGAAATAGCATAAAATGAGTACGATACACGTCAACTGGCGTATATCGACTCGATTAAAATGGAAATTCCATTACAGTTATTTAATAAAAAATGGCAATGTTGATTGCAAAATAAAATTCGGAAAGACCACTTCGAAATCGGAACCATTCCAGGTAAACCACACTTTTTCCAACAAAAGATTAGACTATAAATGAATTTATTTGGCAAACATTATTGTTGAAGAGCTAATAATGTCGAGTGGAAATAATGTAACCAAATATTTTAAATTATCATCCCGAACTTTATTTGTTTTCTGCCTCATTTTCATTTCACGGAGACTCTCAATTAGGACGTCCACACATAACTGCGAAACATTAAGATATGCGAAGTTGCACAAATTCAACGCAAGAACTTCCGATCTGATACTTCGCCTTCCTGCCTGCCAAGTCCCTGCGATGCGGTATAATAACGCAGTGTGAGCAGTTATATGCTAAATACGTATTTTAAACAATAAAGTATAAAAATATATAAAATGATACGGAGTTCTCACTTAATGGAATGAAGATATACATACGTGTAACTTTCACAGCTTTAATCTTTGGGACAGTATTGCAGTTTTTATCTAGATGTCAGTGTTCTGCAAGCGCTGTTCGAAATAGTATTTTTCTTCTCAAAATTACACTTAACGGCGCGGTATGATATAATTTAATTTATCATGTGCCCAAAAATTTTACGAAAGTCATTACTTGATTAGACATTTAGGAAAACAAAAAAAAATGGGTAGTTCCCAGATGATGCTTTCGAATAAAAGTGTGAAAATAAGTAGTAATCGTCCGTAATGTTCAAAATTATAGCACAGGTCGTATGCCACTTAACCAAAAAAACAGTTCATGTACAGCAAATATACATCTTACTAAGGTTTTAAAACTATAGAGTTTAAAACAGAGTGGATTACGACGGCGGCAATTGTTTGTATTTTAAAATTATTTACATGGAGGTTAATGAAATAAAAATTGACATAAAAATACAATTATACATTCCGGTCAAAATCGTGACCCTCTTTTTTACCCGACCCTTTAAGAAGGGGTAATCTATTGTTATTTCTTTAACTTTAGAAACATTTCTGCTTTTAGTACTAAGCTTGTTCCTATACTTATACCTTCTGACAGTTTCATGTATGAAAAATGTGTTGTTGTAACACAGAAAATAAAAATAAGTATTCTCCTCATCTATACATGATTAGGATATTATTTTATGTTATTATACGTAGTATATATTTAATTTTGCCTGATGAATTAATGTTAACCTTAACTTTATTATTTAAAAATTCTTTTTATCAAAATTGTTCGTCAACAGTACTTGTATTTAGTAAATTACTTTAGAAATACTTTAAAACCTAGGAAAATCTTAATTAAGACACATACTGCCTATTTGGTAATTGAGAAAGTTAACCATCAGTATTCCTTTGACATTTTATGATTCACAATATTAGTGCCTTATACAAAGGTTGTTTATCTGATCAATTGTTTCATTTCTGATAATAATAAGTTATTAGTAATAAGTAGGTAAGTATGTATATTTATATGTATTGTTTTAATATAATAAGTGCTGTTTAAATATGTAGATACCTATGAAATATGTAACCCACAATTATTATACATTACTTTTACAATAAAATACAACAATTTTATTTTTGTTTTTTATGCCCATTTGTTGTCTTTTGGTACAGAAAAATTTCACAACTTAACTAGCGATTCTGGCTTTAACTTAATTTCATACGTATTTTGTCCCAAAAAAGTAAATATTGGTCATAAGTGATAAAAACTTGTAAGATGGATAAGATTTATTGAACTAACCTTTTTCCCTTTTTTTGTTGAGGGGGGAAATTATCCAATGACTTCTCCCGCCCAGGTGAGGCGAGAGGGAGTGTCAGACTCTCTTCAAAGTCAAAATAATTTATTTCAATTAAACCAGGAAGGCACTTTTGAACGTCAAAATAAAATATTTAATAAGAAAAAATTACAGTCTGTAGGTCAGTCTAGAGCTGACCAGTCCGATTTGACAGCGCCCGTTCACGAACATGACACGCACACCAGCACCGCCCAACTCAACCGTGTTGTAGGGAATCGAGCGATCCACTACCCGTGCCACTACCAATGAGACTTTTGAGTGAGCATGACAACTCCAAGCTGAAACTAATGCATTCTACTAGTCTAATTTAATTTAGTTAGTTACAGGGCTCTCACATTTACGATAATTATATAAAGTTTGACAGTGTACATTTGAACAAAATGACTGTATTATTACATGAATAAAACTCATTGGAACATCAATGTTTTTCGCTATCCAGTGGAGCCAGACCAACCTGCCTCCAAGCATTTTTATCCTCTATTACTTCTTAATGACTAAAAACTACCCCGTTCCTACTCCTGCACTTCGAGCCGGAGCCCCGACAACCCGTTAAGTCTTCCGCGGCTCCGTATCGGCATCAGCCCTGTTGGGCCACATCTGTGGTGGTCTGGTGGTCGTTCCCTCATGTGCTCCGCCTCCTCCTTAGTTAGCATGACTGTTTCGCAGAAGGAAGAGACGGCATTCCAGTTCGGCATCCAGTCGCTCCGTACCATGGTCTGAACCAGAGCCGAACGCGAAAGGTCGCCGTCGCCGATCATATCCCTGAGGACACGGCGGTGCTCAGCCCACGAAGGACACCGCCACCGTATGCTCCACCCTGTCCTCCGGGCGATCCTCGCAGTGTAACACCCGGGCGTCCAGTAAGCACCTGCGGCAGGCGGTAGGTGAGGACGCCGTAGCGTCTCTCAAGCCACTCCTCAAAGAGGGGACTTACCGCTGCAATGACAGCGAGCCCAGCCCTCGGTTGCTGACATTCCGCCATGAGATTGCACCGGAGCTCATCCCGCCACGCACTAATCTGGCGCGGCAGCGGCACGAAACGTATATTGCCAGGCCACTGATAAAATAACAAAAGAAAGCAGCAATAGACAAAGTTGACATACGTAGATAATAAATATATTTTTTAAATTTATACATTTTTTACATTAATATATTGTTTAAACCGATAAAACTCGCAATGGAATTTGATCGACTCTATGATTTAAAGAAAAATATTAATTCGTCGACGAAACAGCGGCGATAGCTTACAGCTGTCAGCCTAGAAACTGTCTCTTAGAGAATAGCAATGCAGGAATGCACCGCTACGATTATAAGTGTGGCTTCCGAAGTCCAAAAATGTGGCCCAATTATTATAAACATGTTTGTGATCCAAGCTCCGTAAATATAGACCAACTAGTGGCAAAAAGTTAAAAAATAATTATTTATATTTAAACATTACATTTATCATCACAGGCACACCTAATACAATAAATGCAGTTACACATTATAAGTAAACTTATTACACAATATCCCCTAATAACCGTAAAATAATTTAGACAAAGAAAAACAAAAGAACATAAGCAGATAACTTACAGGCTAATACATTTCCTGCTCCTACAAGACTGCCTCGTTGGCCGAGTGGTCGCGAGTGCGACTGCCGGGCAAGGGGTCTCGGGTCGGGCAAAGTATTACTGGGTTTTTAAAAAATTCTCAGTAGTAGCACGGAGTCTGGAAATGTGCCCGGTATATGGCAATAGGCTCACCCCCTATTACATGGGACTCATAACATAAATAGTGAAAAGTGGGTGTTACTTCTGTGTGCACCTCTGCCTACCCCTTCGGGGATAAAAGGCGCGATGTTATGTACTTATATTTTTAAAATCTATGTACCTAGGTACTAACAACATAAATTATATAAATAGAATCATATAAGTACAATTTTTTTATGAATGAATGTTGAAATTGTTATGTAATTTAAAAACTGGTTGGGATAGTCTTAGAAATAATAATAATATACAAAATACAATAAAATATTGAAAAACTGTGTTACGTTATCGAAAAAAAATGCGAACTCTAATTATATTTGTAAGGCTAAAAATAAAAATAAAGCTACGTGGAATATTGTTCAAAATAAAGCTGATTCACTACGAACCCATACGCAGATAAATAGAATAATACAGAATGGACAGATTGTGGACAGACCATCTCAAATAGCAAATGCATTTAACGATTTTTTTATTGATATGTCAAAAAATAAGGATATGAATGCCAGTAGAAGCACTAAAGATCATCTTAACACAACTTTGGATAGAATTAACTCAAGTATATTTCTCAGACCGTGTTCTTCTCGCGAAGTAGCAACAATTATACAATTCCTTAAACTGTCTAACACCAAGCGGTCACCGGTGACCGCAACCTATTGTTCTATAATTGTGTCTACAAAACCGGTACTCGACGAGTTAAAAATAAAAAGTCAGTTGGCTACGATGAGGTTTCTACAATGGTGATGAAGTCGTGAATTAATGAAATATCCTAGCTCTGTTTTATCTTATCTTATTAATATCTCACTGTCAGAAGGTGTCTTTCCCGATAATTTAAAAATATCTATAGTAAAACCCCTTTATAAAAAAAATCACATTCGCATTTAACTAATTATAGACCAATAACTTTGATACCGATTAAATAATGCATCGACGACTTACGGAATTTCTTAATAAATTTGATGTCATAAAGAAAGAACAAAATGGATTTCAAGCTGGTAAATCTACCACACTCGCTGCATACTCACTGATAAGCCTTATCACTCAAACTATAGACAAGAAATTACCTGTAAATGTACTCTTTCTAGACATGAGCAAGGCATTTGATCTAGTCAATCACATTAAACTGCTGGATAAATGTGATTGGTATGGAGTCCGCGGACCGGCTCAAGATTGGTTGCGTAGTTACTTAACCAATAGAACGCAGTACCTAGAGATTTCTCGAGTTAACGAAAAATTAGTCTCAGTATCTCACAAATCCTCGATTAAAATGAATGGAACAGGCGTACCACAGGGAAGCGTCCTCGGACCGCTTTTATTCCTTTTGTATATTAATGACTTGCCTAATATTACCGATAAAAAATATGTTCTCTTTGCTGTTGTGGTGTCCGACACAGGAAAAGTAAAAGTAAAACCTTATGAGCAGGAAATAAATGAGACTTTGGAGGCCATTATACACTAGCTTGGCAGGACAATGATTTGGAAATTAATGTCTCCAAAACTAAATATGTTCAGTTTGCTAATTAGAAGCGTAAACCACCCAGGCTAAATATCAGTTATTCAGGTCAATCTGTCTCTAAAGATAACAATATTAAATTCTTGGGTATTATACTAGACGAAAACTGTAATTGGAAAGTACACGTAGAAAATGTCTGCAAGTAATTAAATAAATTTGTGTATTAGGCAACTACGCAAATCAACAAACGAAAGCTCAGCGCTATTGGCGTATCACGGTTACGTGAGCTCTGTGTTAAGGTATGGCCTGTTGTTGTGGGGAAATTCATGTGATATAGACAGAGCATTCATAGTTCAGAAAAAATGCATTAGGGCTATTAGAGACATGCAAACTGCTTTTTATAAAGCTGAGCGTTATTACTTTGGCATCTCTGTATATTTTTGAAATTGGTATGTTTGTGAGAAATTATAACTTGTTTAATAAAGTGAATGAAGATAGTAGGTAAGCATTTACAACGAGATGCATCCAAACTAAAAATGGATAATTGTCACTTTATGGCAAGAATTGTGCAATAATGGCAATTTGAGTATATAATAAAATTCCTCGATCTATTAGAGAACTACCTTTGCGTCAATTTAGAATTAAGTTAAAAGCATGGCTAATTGAAAAATGTTTTTACAGTAAGACTTCATTGACTATGGATTGTAGAAAGAAATAGATTTAAATATTATGACATGTAATTTTACAGACATAATGCCTTGACACGTATTTAAAAAATTAATTTGACATTTTGGAATCATTATTTTGACATTACGTAATAATTAATCAATGAAATTGGATTTATATTCTATTATATATAATGTGCCTTATAAACAAACATTTGCATGCCTGGAAAAGGTGGAATACACTACTGTTGAAAATTAGACTAAGATCCATTGTATCACATGTTCCTGCGAATAAATTTCTATTTCTATTTCTATTTCAAATCTTAGGAACCTAGTTACTATTCACAACAGCCTCATATGCTACCTGTGTGAACTCGTTGAGTGTACACGAGAATATATTCGTACTGTCCGCTATTGCATTCAATATGCGCAACGCTCGCGTTATTGGTGCCTTCTGCAAAAGGTTCGTGCGTGCGCACGGTACCACCAGCAGCCGCGGCCGCCGCCTCCGCCACACGTACTCGTCCGGAACACACAGCCGTAATTCCTCCAGTAGGGCAGGGTGGTGCACTTCGCAACATCTTAAATATATAAGTAGCTAGAGCTACTTCACGCCTCACCTCCAATTTGTAGTATCCTACCATACCCAGTACAAACAAAGTTGGATAGGGTATTGCGTACCCAGGGTATATACCGTACGATTTTAAATACATGAATCTGGCAAACTTATTTTGGATACGTTCTATCAAGAACTTATATTTGTCCTCGTGTGGACTCCAGATACCAGAGCTACACTCCAAGTGACTTCATAGAGCGCCCTTAAAGCTGCGTTGTTATTGAACTCGTTTGCCTGACGTAAACTAAAACCTAGATTGCGGTATGCCTTCAGATCAGACATCCATAATGTGTTTCCTGAAATGTAACTCTGATACAAAATGGACTCCTAAATCTTTCACCTCCGTAACGCGTTGCAAAAGTTCACCTTCCATGCAGTATCGGTGGTGACGGGGACTGCTTGCACGAGTGAATGACAGAACTGAGCATTTAGCAACGCTGAAATACAACTTGAATTCCCGGCTCCACTCAATGACTCTGTCAATATCGTGTTGTAAACTAACATGGTCCTCGTTATCCCCTATTT